CATGTGATTTAAAATCAGCACATCATTGGCTACCTTAAGGCCTGCCCTTTTAATTGTCATAGTGCCATATATTGTATTTTGTTTCAGAAAAACAAGGAAATGAGTATAAATTAATTGATGCCATATGGCAACTCCGTACCATAGAGGGATACAATTTTTAAATAATTACATCATATGAATCGGGGCTTTTTTTTTTCAGAGACTGCAGCATCACTTTACTGTATGTGTTTAACATTTTAAAATGGTCTACCGCAACAGACCTGTCAACACAGGACACAACAGTGTCTTTAGTCTCAGATAACAAATTTAAAATATAAAATGATTTTATTTACAAGAGTCATGTGTCATTTTTATTAATTGTGTTGGATAGCTTCTGATCATTAAATCAAAACTTGTGGTTTTATGACATCAATTACTGCTTTATTTATTATTTATCAGAACTAACTTAAAATGTTTTTTATGTATTTTATATTTCATTTTTTATTTCATTTAAGCAATTAATTAGGTCTTTTTTAACAGTTACACAAGCCATAATATGATTTTAAAAGAAAACTGCGCAAAAATGCAATTAGCGTACTGACAGTAATTAATTCAGTACAAAGAATGCTAAATGTATAATACCGGATTAATATCAATAATGCTAACAAAAACATAAGTGCATTAGTAACTATTGGTCTATATTAAACATTTGCCATCTTCCAACATTTATAATCCCAATTTTTTCCCCTAATATTGTTGATTATCATCTGTTAACTGTTGTAATTGACATTGAGGCAGTTGTGAGGTATTGTCGATACAGTATAAGATTATATGGTCATTTTTACAGCCACAGTTACGGAGATGTTTGTAGATCTCTATTCTTCTTGTAAAGCTAAACTGAATTTTAAGCATTATATGTAAATAAAAGTTAAGCAAAGTGATTAAAAAAAATGTGGAAAAGGGGAAAAAATTAGGGGGAAAAGTGAAAAAAAATGTGATTAAACATTAAAAGAAATTAACAATAAAACTCTGCACATGCTAATGAACTCCTGAGTCTGATAGGTTACACATCATTAAGTCAGGAGAGACTAAAAACTTATTAAAACATCTTTGTCTTTTTCAAACAGCTTCTGATTTCAAGGAAAACAGTGTCATAATGTGATGGGGGAAATAATAAAAAAAAAAAAA